AACCCCTCGAGCTCTGGAGGAGGGGGTTGATATTTTCTTTGCTGCCATATGTCACTGAAACCGGTACATAGCATGCGACCTGGCATTTGCGATCCGTAGGATATCGGCGTCCCGCTCTGAGACGCGTAGGAAGACCTGATACCCGTATCTATCAGAGGAGCCATAGCCGATGGCAAAGCTCCAAACCGCCTGTTGGCTGTTGACGGTCGCTTGCCATTTGTTGATCCAGACTCCAGGCAGCTTCTTTGGTGCTAGAATGAGCTGAATCCCGGGCACTGCCGGTATGTTTCTCGTCGGGCTTGACGCCTGGCAGGGCAGCAGAACGAATAGAGAAGCATATGATGCTTGACATACTGAGTTCCATATCTGGGACTTTTCTGCCAATCCTTGGGTCGCTGGTCGCCTTATGGTCAGAAAATCGCATATCCCACGATTAAATAAATCTAGAATCTGGTATGATTCCGATCGATATGCATCAAGGCGCGTATCGTGCCCACTACTTGTCCAATGTTTTGCGGTACGCACTCTTCACTCCTGCTCCCCCGACTCGTCGCCCACTGCAATCACACGTTTCATCCTGCGCTTTCTCTCGTAGCAGGTCCCTGCAGTCTGTCTAGAGGGGAGTTCCTCCGACCTGTCGAGGGTGTAAATGGAGTCCATGGCGTCTGAGAATGGCAGGCGATTTGGGTCAATGACTATCATTTGCGTAAGCATCCTGTTGACCAGAGTGCCTTGCAGAAGCAGATGCTGGTGCCTGCCCCGGAAGAGTTCATAGACCTTTTCGACTAGACTGCGTGATCCGCAAGGGCCGACCGAATTCCATTCCCCGCTGCTCCTGTCATCCTATGCGTAGATGTCGATGTCGAAGTGAGTGTCGTGGCCGATTGCAAGATCTAGGAGACTCTGCTGATATCGGTTGGGGATTTCGAATGTTGCTTGTAGCATTAATATCGAAATCAGAATTTCCTCGATAGACAGGACGCTGTATCCCCTACCTTGACAAGGGTAGAGTAAATTACTTCGTAGGGGGTACTACGACCCTGGAATTATCCACCACAGTAGCTATGGCAGATGCAGAAGAGAAGAAAGAGTCACGATGTCGTCCTGCTTAAATTATGCAGTGATATGCCTCTATTGAGGGGTGGGCTGGAATAAGCGGCCTCCGTTCTCGAAGAACAGCTTGTAGAATTACATTTATTCTTGCCCTCGCGAGTGCTTCTTTCGGCACTGCCGTCAGTCATAAGAGCCAGATAGCCAAAAGCGTAGCCTGCATGGATAATTGTGCGAGGGTATATACCCTGATAACCAACCATTGGGTTCCTTGTGAAGTAGCGAACGAGGTGAGGAAGCACGGACAGACGGGGGCAGATTGTATGAAATGAATAAATTTGTTTCTGGGTAGTCTGAGAGCCCGGGGTTAGGCTCTGCCAACCTCGTAAGGTGAAGTTTAGCACTCCAGCGTAGATTGCTGCCTGATGGTGTCTTGGAAGTTCATCTCAGTTCCGAGACTCTAGTGATTTTCCCAGATCAAATCCTTCACAAGCGCTGGATATCTCAGCAATCACCGAATGAATATGGCTTTTCGCTGTTATCTGAAGACTCCGGCACACGGGGCAACTATTATCACCACCCTGTGCCAGCTCACTGTCGCGAAATATCGCCAAATCTTCTAAGACGTCGTTGACACTCCATTTGCTGGCAGAATCGGTGTCTATTATATTTACCACCACCAGTAGACACACTAAAGGAAGACGTTCGTTGCAACAACAATTTTCAGGCGCGTAGGCAGTGTCAACAAGGCCATAGAGTAGTGCCGATAATGTCAACTTAGCGTGGTTGGGTGGAGACCAGTCTTAACCGCCGACTTGCTTGCCAGGAGCTTGCTCTTCTGCACTGACTTGGTGGGAAGTACTGTGCGTAAACAGGTACGGATGCTACGTACGGAGCAATCGCTGTATAAAGCCAACCCATACACCCGCTCTGCCTCTTCTCTGGTTTACCCCTTTGATTTGGTGGTAAACTTCTAGTTATAGAAAAGTGTGGCCCGTACATGAGAAGTTTGCGAATGGGGTATGTCTCAGCACAACAGGGGTGTAGGGCAAGGCTCGATTTATCACGAGCTTCTTTTCGTATCGTTTTGACTTCTTTGATTGAAGCCATCTGTCGATATAAAGGAAAATGTTGGAGGACATGTTAAGGTTTGTTTTAACAAGGGCTCTCTTGAAGAAGTTAGGGTTCCAAGATGTCAGTGATGGAGCTGGGCCCATAAAAGAAGCAGAGAAGGGCAGACACCTAGTATAGGTGGCCATAGACACGCTAAGCCAGGCAAATGACTTGAGTGGCCCATAATTGTCGTCATCGTTACTTTGTTCGACCACGAACAGCGACGCACGGAGCCTATACGCATGGCAAAGATCCAGTTTGGAAGTTTGGATCTCATTTAGGCCTCCGTCGAATGCGAGTTGAGCGAGATATCGGTATTGTCGAGGGCCGACACTGGCTCACTACCCGCAGGCACAAGCAGAGGGTGGTCGCTCGTCCTTGAAGTCATCTGCCTTGGATATCATTGTATTGCATTTGACCTGCGGTAATGGTAGTAAAGGTACCGTCACGCAGGAGAAACTCAATATGGCAGGCATCTGCGAGTACACACATATGTCAGTCAACAGAGTTGACGCGTTCCTTGCGAGTCTATATGTCGCTGTCCTTGTAAAACTCATTTAGCCCACTTGGGATGCGCTCCATAGTCTTAAACTAGAGGCTGAGTTCTGCCCCTCGCTCTGTATAATCGAAGCTGTAATTATCTGCGGTCAGCAGTACATCCAAGATGTGCACAATGTGATGTGCATTGACATCGCTGATTATTCTGCTGGTATTTTACCCTTGTCCAGTTTATAGACATTGAGAATACCGCCGACAAGGTAGTTGTTGAGCTTTCTCTAGTCAATGATATAAGAGTATTATAATGCTATACTCTAGTTCTCTCAAAGTCTCCGACCACCCGCTTTCAATTGCAAGGGTGTGACCCCCCGAACCTCAAGATGTGTTCAAGCATGTAACGGGGAACCGAGATTCGAACCGCGTAGTATCTCGTGAGATTTTAGACCGAATTGCCCCTGATATTGCATTAGCTAGTACTTCTTCGTATGGTCCATCAAGTCACTCACAGGCTTTGATCATTTCCATAAGCGTATCATTCTTGGGTCGGTTGCCATAATATTGCAACCGACAGGACCATTTTTGCAGAACTTTATGAACCCTCCTATGTTCGAGAGGCCCGCACACCCACTATATGTAACAAGTTAGATCCATGCGGACCAGCTGTTGGCCTATACTATGGCACATGCTGCGCAACCAACCCGAGTTGGATCCCTTGCCGAGTGCGTTGACGATAATCATATAGCTTGTCACTCGTCGAGTACCTTCTTGGCAGGGATAGTCCACGATTTGTGAATCTGCCAGCAAATCATTAGACTAATCAAGCGGAATATAGAGCTCCAGCCTGTAGCACCCCGAGAATGATACGTTCATTGGATCAAAGCCGTACACGGTATATCTCTTTGGCTGACAAGGTGCATAAGAGATGTTGTTCCGGAATGCAGTGATGGGCTCCACTTCGTCTCTTAATAGTCCTGTGAGCTTTTGTATGTACCGTTTTGGGTTCCTATATTCCGTTTATAGTTTATTTGATACGAAAGTCAACGACGTCTTGGATTGAGGGCGCAGAAGACTTCTTGCAAGGCGGCAGAGGTATGCAAGCAATGGTGTGCTGATAAGATACTAGATGGACGAAGCCACTGATCAAGACGAGATGGCTCTTTCTATCCAAAGGGTTTGAATGGATGATCAAGATGAGATAGCTTTTCCAGCTCGAGAGATTATTAAGAGGTAGATAGGAGAGGAAATATATGTCTTCTTATATCTCTCCAAAGGTATAAATTCACAATACTATTCAATCCAGTTCGTAATAGAGTGACCGTCAACAGCAGATAGAGAATGCATCCCATACCCCATACCCCCAGCAAAATTCACAATCGGGAATTATCTACTCCGTAGACTAAGTCAAAGTATAGACCCAAGTCAACATAAGATTAACCTTCATAACGAACATTCCATTCCCCCGATCGAGGAATGCGATCTGGTCTACTACACAGTCCTAGTAGAAGTATGTACAAACTCTCCCGAACCCTAATCACCACGTCAATTCATGCCCTTCATCAAACATCTTTATTGAATAGTGTAAAATAGAAGCTCAGGGAATATTTATTCAGAGTACATGATCTCGGCTGAGGTCTAATTACCTCGCCAAGATGAATGCAGTCAATATCCTCACTCTCCTCGGCACTTGATTACCCGACCATCTTGGCGTCTATCTCAATGACTAGGTAACTAACGAGTGTTCCTGTGAGTAACAATATATTTCCCAAGTGTATACAATGTCTCAATTAACTCCCCTTAACTAATACATATTTATGTATTTCCTAGGAAACAGCATCATACAAAGTTCACCACCTTACATGTACCCGATCCCTAAATCCATTCCCAACCCTAACTCCTCAGACACAACAAACAACCCTAGTTAAAAAACCACCACCACCACCACAAACCTATTAATAACTTCACCCAAAGAAACAAAAAGCAAAGGCAAGTAAGAAAGGGAAATAAAAACCCTCAAACCCCTCTTTCATCGACGGCCCCCCTTTCCTGTTTCGTCTTTTGTTTGTTACAGATCTCAACGCAATCCCTGGTTGCAGTGATGGTGCGTGAACCAATGTGCTTGCATCGTGGAAGAAGGAACCATGGTTCGCAGTGGGGGGGTTTGTGAGGATTTGTTTTGGGGATTGGAGTGATTAATTACATTTCTTTAGAATTGGAAATTGGGATTGGCGTTGTGGCTTTGGATTTTCATTACTTTTTTCTTGCTTTTCTGTTTTATTTCTGGTTGTAGTGATTGATTCCTGGTAAATAGGGCTTGGAACTAGTGACTACGAGTCTGAGACACAAGGGTCTAGATTTCAATTGAAAAAAAAAAAAAAGGTATTTTAAATAGTTTCTTTCCCGTTGATCCACTTCGGTCCCCGAATTGAGGAACTGGAATTGTGAACTCCTACTTACACCGCGATTCCATGGAAGAAGCCAACTGATCCAAGTGAACCAACTGAATAACCTTGGCTCAAAAAATGTAACACCGATCCCTTTTCCTTGCCTAATCCTCTAAAAGTATTTTTTGTTTGTTTTTGGTTGTTTTTTTTTATTGTGAAATATTTACCGAAGCGAAAGTTGCCCATCAGGATTGGTAGGTGTAGGCCTTTCCACTGGCGCTGAGGTCGCTGCCCTCCAGCAAGAAGCCGTCGGCACACATGTAGTAGGCATAGCGACCGATGCCGCTCTGCGAGTCGAGCCAGGGGATCACCTCGTTCAGGAAGTCGGTGGATTCCTGGGTGCCCGAGCCGGCCGTCATGGCGCTGCTGAGAGCGAACTCCGTCACCCAGGTTTCCTGGAGGTTGTACTGGGACGCGAGCTCCTGGGCCTCCTGGACGAAGGTCTTGAATTCGTCGGCCGAGGCGCCGTACCAGTGCACGGCGAGCACGCTCATGCCGCAGTCGGAGCAAGCGTCGAGGAACTGGCGCATCCAGCCGAGACCGACGTCGTTGCCGCCGCCGTTGGTCACGGCGGGCGTCACCAGCTTGGCCTTGCCGCTGTAGGGCGTGATGTATTTGGCGTAGGACTGGGCGGCCTCGGAGGGGGTCATGGCGGCTTGGGAGCTCTGATCGGGCTCGTTGAAGCCCATGATGTAGTTGCAGCCACTGCCGAGCAGGGTTTGGATGGTAGTGAACCACTCGCCGAACATCTTGCTGCCCCAGAGCATGGGCACGAACTCGACGTTCGAGGGCAGGGTGCCCGAGGAGACCATGTTCCAGTCGTAGGCCCAGGAGATGGCGCCGCTGCTGCTCAGGGAATGGACGGTCGAGACGTCATTGTAGGCGGCACCGCGCTTGTTGGAGGAGCGCTTTGTGACGTGCACATGGGAGTGCTGGTGGGCGTGAGGGGCGGCCACGGCAGTGGAGGCGACGAGGCCGGCAGCGATGAGCTTGGTGAAGGAGACCATTGTGATGGGCTTTAGATTCTGTAATTTTTCTCAAACTTGGTAATGCGGGTGTGACCAGAGAAGACCGGTTCTCTAGATAAAGAAGGTCGGTTAAAGCAAAGACAGTGGCGCTTGATTGTACTCAAGCGGGACTTCTCAAAGGAATGACAGATTGACCGTGCACGGCACAGGGCAATACTAGATAATGAGTGTGGGAGGGAGAGAAAGTGAGAGAATGCGGTACGGAGGAAGGAGGGAAGAAGGAAGAGAAAGCAGGAGGTGAGGGGGAGGAAGTAAAAAGGGTTATATAGGGCATCCCTCTTGCCCTGCCCTAGTCCGGTGCTCGAGTGGAAAAGATATCCTCGAGGGATGTTTACATTTGGAACTATACTCTTTTATGTCTAGCTGGTCATGGCAGTCTTGGAGAATTATTGGCATGCGAATTATTATTATTCTTAGAATGATAATAATTATCAATGGATTTCTGTTCCTGTGCCTGAGTGCCAGCTCCTCCCGGAACCACGGATGCGTCACCAACGGCACCGAATGAGCTTCAGGGCAGACCTCCGAAACACCATGACAATTCTTTTCAATTACTGCATGAATCAGTAGTACTGCACAGTACCGCTGGTCACCTCGGGATACCTGTAATGGGAAATTAAAATCTCCTACCGTCTCTGCTCTGAGTCTTCTCTTCTTCTCTTGGATGGGGACGTCCGTCGGACAGTCGGAATGTCGACAGCCAGTCAGAGGGACCACAACGCAATCCGACCTGCAGGTACAGGTACACACACTTGTCGGTGTGGGAGAGGAAGTGATGGATTGTACTGAAATGTACATTGGACATGCAGGACACTAAAGGGGCGCTACACTAGTTCAAGCCCACTCCACTGCGGATCCATTGGCAGTCCAGACCTGGTCCGCCGGGTAATCTGAATGACAACTCTTCCGCTCCCTCGTATTGTTTACACATCAGATTCTCCGGAAGACCTGTCGAATATTGAAAATGCCATGCAGCAGATGGAGGACAAAGGTCTGATTCAGGTCTGGGGATGTTCTCTCTCTGTCGCCGAAGGAACCGCGATTGATCGGCCGTGCCAGAAAATCTGACGAGCGTCCAGATCGGCCACCGGGAACGAGTTAAGCATCAGCCGGGGTCAAGACTAACGGGACTTAAGTCCAATCAGCCGTTTTCTAGCGCCCGTCGGCCACCACATCTGAAACGAAGGCGAACGAACTCCCTCACAGGTGACGTGTGCCGCAAGCCATCTCAATATATTGATGGCGCTGCCGGTCCTATTTTTGGGCTCGTGGGCGGAAGGACGCCAAATACGGTCTATATAGCCCCTATGTTTAGGCACCGATGTTGTCTCTCTGTTTGTCCTTCTCGTGCTTTCTTCTCTCGGGTGCCATGGATAAAACGCCCCCCTGAGGGTCTTCCTCGTCCGGTATTAGCGGCTGTCAACCATAACCTGGGCCCGGCCTATCAATCCAGTGGCCCACGTCTCGACTTGGCCGCCCAAAGTCAATCTATGCCAATGACAACCGTCCTAACCCACCATGGCGCTCTGCAGTCCTCCACATATGGAGACGCACATGCTCTGGCCAGTGGCGAGAACATTCAGAGATTTCTTGTCGAACGGTCTTCCAATGGAACCAGTGAGTGGTGAAGCAGACGAGGAATGTTCCCCGAGCGTCTCTTACTCATTCGGTGAGGGACCGTTGCGTCATCCATCCTTGACTCGTCCTGTCCGTGCGGAGATTAATTATCTGGTGCAGACGGTTTTCCCGTCGGCGTTCTAATCACTGACAGAATCTCATGCATGGATCAGTTCATTATTGGTATTGCAGCCGACCCTAGACTGAGTAACACTCGGCCCTCTGGCTGCGATGCGATACTTGACATTGAAACATAACCCTTCCTTGCAAGGTACACGAGGGCTTCCTCATCTGGCCAACCATGGATCACAGAGACAGTGTTCAAAGCGACTTCGGTAATTTAGCGAGGTTGCTGCATCGTCTCTTTGCTGGCGGAATGTCGCCGAGCATCGATGTGGTGGCGATCATCCCATCCGTATATCGGATAGAACACATGACCGACCATCTACAAATATCAGTATGCCCTAGAACCAGGATGGACACAAGTACAGGTCACAGTAAAGAGACGTAGCGGGAAGAAGAAAAGAAGGAAATGAAAATATATATGCATAGATCCAGAAACACAGTGGTATCACAACTCATGAAATGCATAGAATACAATATCGCGCTCTCAATCTTTCTTCCTTCCGTCAAGCACACGCATCACATCGGAGACACTGTCCTTATCCCCCTTCTTCTTCTTCGGTCCACGCTTTCTCTTCTTGCCCCCACGTTCCTCCAGGATCACCTCGTCGTCTTCGTCGTCCTCGACGCGACTGCTTCCGAATCCAAGATCCATATCCATGGCATCCAGCTGCTCGCGACGGCGGGCTTCTTCGAGGAACTTCTTCCTTCGAAGGAGAGTCTCCGAGTCGGCGTCTTCTTCTCCATCGCCAGCGTCATCGTCTGCCGAAGACTCGGCTCGTCGCAAGGCAGCAGCCCGTTTGAGGGCAGCGAGCAGGGTGGGATCTTTGGTGAGAGGATTCGAACGATCTTCTTCAGTAGTCTCCGTCGTAGAAGTCGAGAAGTAGTTGCGCGGCTTGGCTGGTGCTTCACCTGACGGCTTCGGTGTCTCCTTTGGCGCTGCCTCCGTGGTGTGGGCTGGCTTCTCTCCAATCTCACCATCTGAGTCCGAGTCCGACGACTCGTCACTCCCGAGATCGCCAAGAGGGTTATAGTCGTCACCCACACCCGCAAAGATATCGTCATCTTCATCCTCCGACGGAGCAGACGCCTTCGCCGCCACCTCAGCCGGCACCTCCATACCCAACGGCTTCGCATCCTTATCCGGAACCAAGAGACCGCCAGCATTGGTCTCACCCGGCTTATCCAACCACCTCACCTTCCTCTTCGTCTTGCCCTCCGCATCCGTAATCTGTAGGATCTCCTTCCGCCGCCCATTCTCATCCTGCTCCACCCACCTCTTCTTCTCGACCTTCGAATCCCCGATCCGCTTAAACTTCGACCCTAACGCCGGCTCTGCCGCCTGCTCCTCAGCCGCCGCGGCAGCAGCCCGACTCGCCCTCAACTGCTTCAAAATCTCATCCCTCGACTTCCTCCCCGGCGGCGGCGCCATACTCCCTTTCTTCTTCTCCTTCTCCCTCGGCGCAGAAGGCAACTCCCCCCCCGTCCCCTCCTCCAACTTTTCCAACTCCTCATCCACATCCCCTACCGGCTCCTCCGCCACCTCCTCCTTCTCCTCCTTCTTCTCCACATCCTCCCCAGCCCTCACCCTCCTCAACAACTCCCAATCCAAACCCTTCACCATATGCGTACTGTTCAAATCACCACCCACGCCCAACTCCCCGCACAACTTCTCAAACGTCTCGCGATCAATCTGCCCCAGCTTCACCATCTCCTCCAACGCCTTAATCCTCTTCTCCAGGTCATCCCCACCTGCGTCCTCTTCCCCGGTGTCTCGTAACCGCGCCGCCCGATCCTGGTACCCGGCCGGTAACTTGGTGCCCTTCGGCGCCGCAGACGAGCGGAATCGTTTCGGGGCTGGTTGTCCGTCGCGTCGGTATTCGGCTAGTTGGCGCGCGAAGTCGACGCCTGATACGGAGCGACTAGTAGCATAATATCATTTAGTTTCTTTTTGCTTTTCTATTTAACGGTAGTGTAGAATAGAAAAATACGTACGGGGTCATAGGAATGCTCGAGCGCATCCGCGACCCGAGCAGGGCGGGCGTTGCGCCGCCTCCGCGAGAGGCATTTTGGGATGGAGATGTACTCGACTGGGATTGTTTTTGGGTCGAGTTGTTGTTATTGTTGACGAGGAGACGGCGGAATTGTTCGTTGTTCATCTTTTCTTATTTCTTTGCTCCGGTCGGTGTTATCGAGGGAGATAAGAGAGGTAGGAGGTACTGTACAAAGTAGCTTGGCTACCTGTGAGTAAGATTGAGAAGAATCGAAATGTAACTGAACGAGAGGAATTGCGATTAGGATATCCTCATTTATTGTCTGGTCATTCTTCGTATTGAGGTATGCGTTGTGGTAGTTGCAAAATTGGAGGTAATGAGGGAAGCTTGACTTTGTCGGCGGAAAGAAAAAGTAAGGTCACGTCAAGCATTCTTGGCGTCGGTGAGCTTTATTAAATGGTTCTTCCTCCATATTCTCTTAACTATATACCTTTTTCTTTCCTTTTTTTCTTTTCTCTTCTCTCCATCCTAGGGCCTGATGGCGTATTTATGGGATTGTACTGTTTCAATATATGACTTGTTGTCCTTTCCTATTTACTTCTCTTTCTCTTACTAGTTGTGGTCCAGAGACACACACTATCAGCTTTTTCGTCATTCTAGTGTTGGAAAACAACATGTATATATCGTGATCTAATTCTGGGCTTCTGTTGTTTGGTTTCCTCGCCATAGTCAATAACGATAAATTAATGTACCTCAGAAGCGCCACACCCCGGTCATAGCACTGAATAACAGGTATAGCATATAAAGAAAACAGTGTTGCACTAGTCTCCTCAATTGGAGAAGCAATCTTGACAGTCACGACCTGCTTAATAGTCTCAACCTCCACTCAGATATCGTCCCCGCTGGGTCCAGTGCCCTCACCCGGAGCTGTAACGTACTGCAGGAGGTACATGGGAACATCTTCATCTGTTCTATCGTCCTCCCACAAGGACCATAATCGGCCCCGATACTCCTCGGAGACTGTATCATTTACACTGAACCAGTTAGTACCGATATCGACCAAATCGGGCTCAACAGTGTTATTGCACGCAGAAGCCGGCTGATCGGCTGCATACATTGCTTGGGATGTTGGTGCATCGAGCCCTTTTTCCACCACACCTCGGCTTCGTCTGTTGAATCAGACTGATAGCATCTGACAGGTAGATGTAGAGACTGAGGAGTAGAACAAGTCGAACAAGTAAATCGGTCAATCTGCATTTTCGTTTTGTCCGAAGGAGAAAGAAAATAAAAAGGCAGTGGTCAAAACCAATGATGGGGTTATCAGCAAGCTTTGTAGTTGGATGGATGGAATATGAAGATGTGGTATGAGTTGGGGAACACTCTCTGTGATCAGATCAATTGGATTCCATCAGCCTTTCGGGGCTGCGGAGGGAAGGAACGTATAGGCTTCACCTCACCTCCGTAGCCATGATTCCTTCATAATTTGCTTTAACCCTGATTTGTGGCTACCCTTACAGATCGAGACTCCCGGATCTTCATGACACCAGGAAGCCGGCACAGCCATGAACCAGATATGTGTATATCAACCGTTGAAGACCTGGAATCAGTACACCACCTCATAGTTCCAGTTAGAAAAAGCTCGAATCCCAACAAGACTCCGTTTCAACCATTCTATCCTCTCGCTCTCACAACCCTTCACCTGACAACCAAACGTGCCTCTCGCCTTGAGACTCATCGTCGTGCTGATATGCTGCAGCAAGCGGACGACTTGTGCGATTTTGATTCCCTGATCACAGGACATATCGAAGATAATTTCCTCCACCCCGTGCTTCCTCGGAATCGCCCGACAGGCCGTTCTCCAACTCTGGACGAGTCGAGACATGTGCGGCCCTTCAATATAGCCGTGCTTTTCTTCCAGAGTCAACGGTACCCCCGAAATGGGATGCAGGATTTTGAGACGCAGTTTGCGCATCCCATCGCGGATTTCCACCGTTTCCGGTGTGAGATGCTCGAACAGCTTCTTTAGTTCGTGGGGGTCTTGGAAGACGAAGATACACGTCGATGGGTCTTTTCGGATATCATCTAGTGGGATCTCCGCATTTACGGCTTCACTGGTACAGCATGAAACGTTTCCAAGATCGTTGATCGTGATGGACACTTCGGTGGTCATCTTGTATTGGGGAGGGGATGTCCTTATGTGGACCGCCAGGGGCAATCCACAGAATGACAGCACGGTCTACCGGATGATGCAACCAGTGCATGTATATGTGGGCTTTGGATGATGGCCCGTGACGTATACGTACTGCAAGGGGAAGGATGGGGTCATAGGTATTGACGTTCTATCCGTGGTTCCTGACCTCAAGTTTGCCAAAGGAGAAGCTCGAAAATTATATTAAAGCGAATCATACATTGGATCAACTGGAATATGTATCTGAGAATGGGGGAATTAAAGAAACACTAATGCAAAATGCTGGTCGTAATGACTTTTGGATCAAGACATGGGAATAGTAATGCAAAGCCCGTCTCAACTGCACATGAGACATCAAAAACAGGTACATGAATGCTAAGTCCGTTCCGCATAAGGCCACCACCCCTAGATAGTTTCCCAGCCTCCATTGTTGATGTCAGCTTCTAATTTCCGGCTGATCGTCGCGGGAATGCCGTGCGACAACCATACGTCGCGCAGGAGCCGATCGTATCGTTTCTGGTTCAGGATCAGTTGGCGATTGCGCCGGAGGCCTGGGTCCACCTCCCCATGGCGGTCCAAGTAAGGTGCGTAGTGCCAGGAGCCGTGGTGGTTGTGGAGATACAGCACTGTGCATTTGCGAATATTGATGAATAGCCCGATGTTCTTGCCGCATCTGGGGAGAGACAGTTAGTAACCATGCGTGATAGCACTGGGCCTGGGGTAAACATACTTTTGAACGTGCTGATTGCAGCCACCCATCTTGTTCTCCATACAGCACACGGCTTGCGAGCAGAAGATGTCTCCACAGAAGAGGCAGATACTGGGGTCGCTTAGCTCCTTTTTCGAATTCGGGCAACGTCGCCGGTTAGCCTCCTCAATCAAACTGTCGTAATACTTGGGAAGCCCAACGAGCTCGAAGATGGCCGGATGAGAGAGACTGGGCCATAACTTATGATCGCCAATGCGGATGCCTGAACGCGAGGCGTTCCAGTGGAAGATCCAGCCCGATATCACAGCATCGAAAGGACTGCCACTCTCCCTCGCCGTGCTGATAGACGCAAGAATATCGTCGATCGAAGGAAGGTGCAGAGCCTTAGTGAGACGGTCCAACTCGGACACACCCAAGTCGTGGAACCCGGTGTTGGGGAACTCAACCCCGTGCTGCACATGAAGTAGGATAACAGCCTTGCGCAGGAAGGTCAATGCGTAGCTCGAAACCAGACGTCTCAACGCAATGACCACGCCGGGCGTTGCAGAATCCTCCCCGTCCTTGACGTAGCCACTCTCGGCAGGGAATGATGATCCTTCTGCCCGTCCAACGGAGTTCGACTTGAGCTCTGCAACGATAGAGATGAAGAATTGCCTGGCGGACTTGTACCGCTCGTCCGACAGCTCCATATCCAACAGATAATGGGCATCACCATTATGGGCCAGTTCTTCCTTCAGTCCGAGCGGCCAAAGGATGTAGGTCACAGCGACCTTCACAATCTCGGCCACATAGCACATCTGGATGAGATGGCGAATGTCAATATTAAGAATTGGTAGCAGGGATAAAGAGCATTCAGCCAGGAACACGAAAATGTCTTTGCCCAGGAGTGGCTCAATTTCGCGGACATCATCCAGCAGCGCCGTTCCGCTCAAGCAAGGATGACCCACAAACAATTGGCAGATCTTCTGGCGGTGCATCTCCTGGATCTCGTCAGCGGAACGGGTGTGAGGTCCATTGCTGTCATGCAAGCACCCAACCGCGGCGTATGTCAAAGCGGACTCAGCTAGAACGCGGAGGTGGGTCAGGGTTAATTGGGGAATCTTCTCCAGCAGAGTCGATCCTGGCTCCGATTCCACCCCGCGCTGCTGAATTTCAGCCGCAGCGATGCTAAAGCCGAAGGTCTGGAAGAGCGAATCCGTGTGGACGAGGTCATCTGTCTTTATGGTGTCTGGGTGATGGCTGAATGTTGAGTAGATGTGGTTCAGCCGGAGCGTCTGCTTGAGCCGCTTGTAGATCTGCAGAAGTTCAGACATTGGGCTGTCACCTGGGCTGGAAACCTGCTGGAGCGGACTGGCAGCGGGAAGGTCATCTTGTGATGGGAAGAGACCAGGCACCGGCATCCTCGCTTGCTGAACATAATGGGCGGTCGATGGCAGTGGGGATGCCATTAATTGGTCTGTTTTGGAAGCGAGTGGGGGGACCAAGCTCTTATTGAGGTAGTCAAGGAAAAGGTCCTGATAGGACTGCTGCTGTATTTTGTTATGTTCCATGAGCAGCGCGTAATTGCGTGGATGAGACAGCGCAGACTTGACCTCGCCAGCCATGAAATCCTCGAAGGACACAGCGGTGTGTAGTGCACCTGGATAAGATTCTTCCTTGCCCTTCCAAGTGATCGGTAGGAATGCATTGCCCAGAGCCTTACAGAGAGGGCAAACGAACTCGTTGAAAGTCAGACGCTCGGGATGGTTTCGTGCTATTTGCTGGCTCTGGCGTCGCTGAGTAGCCGTGTAATAGACCTCAAAGCAGGAATAGTGCATGATGTGCCCACAGCCCGTGGTGACAGGCCCACGCAGGGTATTCTTCGCATTGAAGCCTTTACTCAACCCAACTTTCTCACTGATAACCTCCCCGCCAGTTGAATCAAGCCGCTTCACCGTAGTGCGGTTTTCGCCTGCGACTCCAAAAGGCCGCACATTTTCGGCAGACTTGTCCAAACTCAAGGGCGTCTTCAACACCTCCCGGATCCAGTCGGGGTCTCGTATATCTGTCTGCCTCATGATACCACTATCTTGAACCAAAGCGAAAGTTCCGTACAGTCTGGAGTCACTTGTCTCCTCCTGGCAGAGAATACAAGTGCCGCTCGGATACTTCCAGAGCTTAGTTTCAGGGGCCGCTTCAGGCTCGGAATCCATGTCGCTGAAATCTTCTTCGCCCCAGTCGATCGCGCCTTGGCTGTTCAAGAAGTTTTGCTGTTGCTGCTGGAATTGAGCCATCACCCTGGCCTGTCTTTCAAGAGCTTGCTTCTTCTTGATCTCTTTCTCATTGTCAGTGTCGATGGCGGGAGAATTTGTATCGACCCTGTCAAACGGGAATTTGAGCGTAGCTGTTGCAGAAGCATATGCACGAGGGCGCTTTTGCCAAAGCTTCTTAAGGATATGACGGATTTTAGGACCACAAGCAGAGAATTCACCCATGATCGAAATCTTCTCTAGGAGGCCAACGATGGTCAGGTACCCGGCCTGGGTAGCTCTGTCTTTCTTTAGCGCGTGAGACACGAATGACTCCATCGGCTCTTCCGTCATCCCATCTTCCACCGTGCTGTCTTCCAGAGCAGCAGCAAGGATTAGGTGCAAAACAACTTGCAAGAAAGTTTCGACACGGGTTGGTGGGATATTTGGTGTGCAGTATTTCGAGGAGACAACGTAGTCAAGGCACTGGTGAACAATCTGGGCAAATAGTAAGGTCCTTGTGAAGCGTGGAAGGCCGATAAACGCCCCAGAAGTGATAGGCCGGAGTTTAGGTTCGAACACCACATCAGATGCCTTCTTGCCGGTTTTCTTCGCCACCCATTCCTTGTATATATTCTCCGCTTCGTCTCGCTGGTTCTTGGTATAGTGGGCGCTGTACGGATCGATGAGATCGATGTATTGGGATTTTAGTTCGAAAGTGCCGGTGTCATTCAGCCCTTCAGGGGGGCGGAAACTTGCTACCTCTTCCAGCACGTCTTGGAAAACGTCTGATTCGAGCAGCTTGTCACTGAGGCGAGTCGAGAGGTCCGAGAATGACAGAGGCTTGAAGCACAAAACGTGTGCAATGTCACGACGAATGTTTTCGCACATCGCGGCATCGCCATCATCAATGGCTGTGAGCGAGTTCCGATCCGTCAACAAGATGACAAGCAAATGCACAAACTCTTCGGCAACATCGATGATTTGGTTATCTTCGTATCCAGCACGTGGCATGTAGCTTCTTGTCATCCAGTCCACCATGCCGAACCTATCCGCAATCGAGGCAAGGACACGGCTTGGGTTACAGGTTACAAAGGCCGTCTGAAGCAGGAAGATATCGCGGTAGTATGCGAAATCGCGAGACGATACGCCACGGTATTGTGACATCTGATGTCGGAGACTGAGCCCGTTGCGGACCCACATGCCCGCCTTCATCTGGGCCAGCCAGGCACAAACTCTGAGAGGGTAGTCGAACATGGAGAGAAGTAAATCTTCTGGGGCAAGACTGCTATCGTGAATGAAATTGTCGTTCGCGAGCTGCGCTGCCTCAAGCAGGGCATCGCGCATCAAAGAGCTGCTCATGTTACGGCCACATTCAAGTAGCCAGGATAGAGTGTAGTGCAAGGCATGATGGAAACTGATGGAGCCTCGTTCAACGACGAAGTCTACGACACGGTGGCGTGAGACCTGACCCGGTTGGTCGTCGCCCTCGAAGTCAAAGAACGGCAGCGATTTGAACCGAACGTACTCTTTGATCTCCGCCTGGTCAAAACGCTTGCGCTCGATTCCGGTGGAGTGGGCAACGGCGGCAACAGTAGCCACTCTGAGTGCTCGTAGCAAGTTCTCACCGCCGTCGACTTCGGGCTTGCGGAATGCTTCGCAGAATTGACGGCACAGCCTATTGATTTCCCGCATGAGAATCGATGCGCTAATCCAAGCGTCCGTCTCGTACTCGACGTGCTCTCCTACGGCACGGACATTGGGGCAGATACCCTGCGAGAGCTTGACCAAGTCCAAGAACTGGTAGAGATACTGTTCCTCAGTCCGCACGCGGTTCTGCACATACTCGGATAGCAGAAGATACCGTAGGTCCAAGAAGAAGTGGTAAAGGCGCCTGTTTGTCACGGAACCAGCATCGAACGCCAGCGTCGCATTGGGGTTTACCTCGTATGGCTCACCAACCTGCCTCGTAGTTAAGAACGTATATAAAATGGATATGACCTTAGTCAAGAAGTTCCCTCGAAGGACTATTTCCTCCGTGATTGAAGGTGTGGTAAGAAGCTGCAAGGAGAGGTTGACAATGGAATGATCCGGCTCTCTATCGGCAATCAGGTAAAGTTGCGCAAGTGCAGTGTAAAGAGCAGATAAGCGCAAGCCCATGATCCGCTTGAACTGAGGGACATTCACGACGGTGCCAATGTAAAGATCGCGAAGATCGGTACGCGTTTTCTTCCAAAGCCTGAGGTCGAAAAGAATCATCCAGTCGAGCCGTGTGCGTTGCCATAAATCCTCATATGGAGGGACATTTTCCCCTCTCTTAGGTACGGACGATCTGACCTGCCAATAACTCGGGGTCTTTGCCGGGGAAGGCTTGACTACACCAGAGGGTGTTTTGGGGATGGGGACATAAGACGCCGAGGCATCATCGTGTGTCTCACTGGAGACCGAATCGTTAGGGGCATTCTGCGCCTCAGTTTCAATTGCTTCTGCGGGTGGTTGCTCGTCGTCGTCGTCTTCTTCTTCTTCTTCCTCTTCCTGTTGCTGCTGTTCGTTGTCAGGGTTCTGTCGCTGACGAGCGAAACCTAAGAGAGCTTGGATAGTATCCAGAGCGTCATCCGCATTTCCCATCACCATATCCTCATCCTCATCTTCAACTTCCTGGCGCAGCCTATTCAAATCCATCTCCATGTCTTCGTCGTCATCGTCGTCATCATCATCATGGCCCTCGACGAAATCTTCATCGTCCTCAACCTCTTCGTTTACACCCTGCTCATCGCCGTTTTCGATATCCTCATCCTCGTCATCATCATCCGCAGCCAATACTACTTGGCCCTGAGGCGATACAGTGAGCATCACTGTGCGATACGGTGCATTATCCGACTTCTGCTGGTCATCGAGACCTTTCATACCAATATCGGCATTGAAGGCTCCGCTGCCGCGGCGCCATGGACTCAGCAGTTCCTCACAGACGGTATGGCGTAAAATCTCGTTGTCCTCAAGAACACTGCACCCGGAAATATCTGCAAGCCACTCCACGATGGTCCCGCACATTTGCTCGCGGAACGTATCCCGGGCGGACCGGATTGTCACGGTGACCTTGATCTGTTCGATGATCCTTGACACGGCCAATAACCTTTGTAAATCTTTCGAGTACTTGACCACACTCCGTCCGTAGTCATTGGTCTCCTGGGCCCTATCGTTTCCAAAGGAATCCCGCTCTCGACAAGCCCGGCTGACTTGATGAGCAACATCGCGAATGGTATGCTTCTCGTCGTTCCACAACGCGAGCGCAAACTCCGGCTCGTCCTCGGCCTGATCACCCTCACCATACCACCCCGGGCGTAGCCGTGATGCCTCTTCATCCTGCCTGATACCCTCTTCCGTCTTGGGCAATCTCAGCTGTTCCGGCGAGCAAGAGAGCACATCACAGAAATAGTCGAGCACACGAGCGACCGTCAGCCGGATGTTATCCACCCACTCCCGGGGGAGCTGCGCCTGCTCCCGCTCCTTGCCCTTTTTATCGCCGCTGTCCGTATGGATGGCACAGAACAGCGGCAGTCGCCAGGCCTCCTCATCACCACAGTCGCAGCATCCGCAATTCCCCGAGGAGATAGAAATCGTATACTGGTGGCCGGTGTGGTCGGAGGAGTCGAAGCAGCGGCTGCACAGCACGCAGGTATCATCGGCAGCGCAGGTGTTGCATCGATACGTCGCCTCCCCAGCTCTGAAGATATGACCACACCGCTTGCCCCGCGCAGCTTCCGTATATTCCGCCCCTTCCTTGGCGCCCTGAGCTTCTGCTAGCTTCCAGGGCCCGGTTGGCAACCCGTCGGAGAATAGCTGTCGCAGGCGTTCTTCGTTGTGACCGGCCAGCGAGCGGAAGAGGAGCTCGAGCAGATCTTTCTCTGCTTGGGGACCGTAGCGGTAGTTGTGATTGGAAGGAAGCCGTTGAAGGCCTTCACCAAGGATCCTCTCACATTCTGTAAGCATCATTTATCGTCTCTAGTCGGAGCAGAGGAGACGCATTCAATTTGCACGAGTATCGAGCGAGGGGAGTGACGGCGAGCTAACAGCTCCGTGTGGCGGGACGGAACTGTAGTCCGGGTTGTTCGCGATAAGGAATGAACAAAATCGCTCGAGAGCGTTTGAGAGGCTCCTCAAACGGAAAGTTTAGTGGTATGTGCAAGGCGGGGGTTGATTAGATTAGGGTGAGGCTAGTGAAAAAGGAAAAGACGAGAAGAAAAACCTATCAGTGAACGCTTAGTGATCCGATATTCGACAGCGATCGATGTCACTGTGGGGGGGAAAGATTTGGTGGGAGTCAAGACGAAAACAACCTAACGGGCAACCCACCCATTAAGTCTCTCAGGTCATTAGTAGCCTTCGTCCGGAACTCGTCGTCCCTTGCATAGATAGTGAAGGGAAATCACGGCAATCGAAAAGGATCGAGTTAACAAAGCAAAGGCATTTGTCGTAAAGAGTGACTGGAACTATCCGATGGTGGTTGTGGTCGGGTTTATCCTCTTAAGTATGACATCGAACAACGGCGCTTGGCGCCACTACCATCTTGCAGCTCCTGTTCTCCCCACCACCGGAAGCATAAATTTATAGACCACAGATGAATGCAGGAACACAGTGATTGGTTAGAGAAAATGCAGCAAGTGAATTCCAAGGTGAATACAGTGTTAAAGATTCTATTTCATACAAGGCACACGCAGCATATACCAATGTCTCTCCAGTGCTCGGCTGTATTATAACATGGGACCGACGACTTTCCCCAGGCTGGATCCATCAATTACTGCTTTTTCTTTACTCGTCATCCTCCTCATCCTTGACCATGTACTGGTGCTTGATGTCCTTCCATTGACGCTGTAGAATCCGTCAGTGCGATAGTTCTAGATAATCTCATTTCGTCAGGGTCGACAGGTAGAAACGTACGCCGCGGTTCATGGCGTCCCAGATACGGTTGGAGCCCGAGTCATAGGCACTGTTTGTCAAAAGCTGGTCAGCCGTCTGTGATCACAGACCAAGGTCAAGTCGACACGCACATCTCGAAAGCGAAGGCACTGGAGAAGATGGCCGTGAGGTAAACAGCGTTCCTGCGGATCAGGCCCCTAGATACCGTGGAAAGATCACAGGTTAGTGAGACCGAATATATAGTCAACGAGACCGTCGTCGGGTGATCCGGGGAGGGGAGACATGCTGGTAGATAGCGGAAGCGATCTGGAGCGGTAACCACTGTGGTTAGCCATTGAACATCAGTAGTCAATTCCAAGCAAGAATCACTTACAGCGCCGGCCATTGTGATGGGTTTGAATTAGGGAATGAGGGCGGAGAACGGAAGAGAGGCAACAAGGAGACGGGGACTATGTCACAATGGAGGAATGCGAGGTTGAAGTTTCGAGCCGACAAGTTGGCCGGCGCGAAAAGCACCAGCGGGAATCACCGGGACGCTGATTGGACGGCCGGAACCAAGTCTGTGCAGAGCCTCCGAATGGCCGCCTCAGGAAACCACCTCAACTCACGCTCTCGTCCCTACAAAATTATTGTGGCCCAATTCCTCTCGCTTCATACCTCGTCACCGTTGGGTCCTCCCCGGGGTCTCTAATAATTACCGCATATTCCTAATATTACTTCATTTCGAGTCGGCCGGAGGAAACAATTAAACTCTATTCTACCATAAAATCCCCCACAGCCATGGCTGCCACGAACTCGGGAATCACTACAGACGAAGTCACCGGGGAACGCTTTATCCCCTCATCGGTCCGTGCCGATGGCTCCAAGCGCCGCGAAATTCGTGTCCGACCCGGTTATCGCCCCCCTGAGGATGTGGAGCTGTATAAGAACCGCGCTGCACAAGCCTGGAAGAACCGTGGTAACACCGGAGTGCCTGGTGCAGAAAGCTTGAAAAGCGAGAATGAAAGCCCGGCTAAAACAGGCACGGCGGCGAGTAACAAAAATGCCAAGCGAAGGGAAGCGAAGAAGAAAGCCAAGGCAGCTCAGGAAGGAACAGCTTCTACCGAGGGCAAAAATGTAAATGAAATCGACAATTGGCGTGCTCCGGCTTCGGGCGCCGATAAGAAGCAATCTAATGGATCGGATAAGGCCGCTGGAGGAGCTGAAGAAACGATCGACCCAGAAGCCGAGAACGAAAAGAAGGCGCGCAATTTAAAGAAGAAACTCCGGCAGGCACGCGACCTACGGGACAAGAAGAACCAAGGAGAGGCCCTGCTTCCCGAGCAACTGGAGAAGGTGATCAAGATCCAGGAACTGGTCCGCCAGCTGGACGCACTCGGATTTGATTCGAACGGCGACAAGAAAGACGAATCTGCGGAGAAGGAAGAGAAAGTCTGAGCCCAATACGACATAGGATCGACCACGTATTTTATATCAATCCAGTTGTTCTTCCGGCAGCCGTCCTATGATAGACAGTCTACCGATTGGGTCTCGATGCTGTTCATATTGATAGCCGGAAAGGCTTTTTACTGTCAAAGCTTTTTCGAGCAAACTAGTGCCTCTGTGGTACTACGCAACTACTCTTGTCAAGTGAGACGAGGCTTGGCCACATCGCGGTTGGAATTTGAATCTGAACTGCATATATGCAGCTACCGGCGTACTACCGCCTGTCAGCTACTCGAGGAACTCTGATATGGAAAATCTCAGTGAACTCCTTGTCACTCATACAGGAGCACTGTCCTATGAATTAGAGTAATAAAAGTCTCTGGCTACCCATCTCATATTCTATGTGGCACGTGTCTGTTCTTCTTCACTTCGACTTGAATGTATCTATCAGTCAGTACGGACCTACTCTGGGCAACTCGTTACGCACTATGTTCTAGAAAAGAAGTCTGAAATACTGCGAGCTTTTTCATATGTTGGCGAGATTAGCCCAAGTCAATATAATACAGGTCATAGAGTTCCATAGAAGGATCTCTATCTTAAAAGTGTTTGCGTTCGCTCCTGTACACTTCCGCCCATCGTACCGGAGATGTGACGATGCCGCCCTCCAACTCCCATTTTTCATAGTCGAACCTCCTCCAGGGGCGGTCGCCATCGCCGGGGCCCAGCTTTCGAGCACCGACGCCGTACGACGCCGCTAAATACCCCTGTCGGATACAATCCGTCACACCAACGCCATTATACCAGCTTCCCGCAAGAGTAAGTCTGTTGTTAAGCTCATGCCGTGTGGACCGGGACAGTTCGCGCATGCGAGACAGGTGCCCAACAGTGTATTGAGGGATGGCATTCCGCTGCAGCCGGCTGCTCGTTAGAGTGGGTGCGTCCGTAATACCTAGATGTCGGTGAAGCAACGCACGACACATTGCAACGGCTGTGTCATGGTCGGGATAATCGGACTCCTTCCACCCATCCCACCAATGGCCACCCATCATCACCGTAAGCTTAGTACCGGGTGCCGTATCTTGACCGACGCTAGAATCCGATCCGAAGATAACCCCTAATGCCCTTTCGGGATTTTGCTCATAAGGGATCGACCGCGGGATAAGATATCCAAAACCGCTGACCGGGAGGAGGTCTGGGTTAGGGAAATACAAGTTGACAACCATGACTGTTACAGCATAATTGTGCTCTTGAAGATTCCGAATAGTACTTTGAGGTACTTTCTGGTCTTCCATGGTCGTGGTCGCGAGCTTCTTTGCAAGTTCGGGAGCTGGAATTGTAGCAATTACGCGGTTGTGGATTCGAGATCTGTCTTTTCCAGATCCAACCTACAACGTATATATGTTAGTAGAACGACCAGTAGCGATGAATAGGAGGCTTTCCCGGTGGCTTACAATCAGGTCGTGGGTCGTGGGATTTTGAGTAATGGACTTAACGTCCGTATTCGCCAAAACGTCAACCTTCTTAGATTTGCTCAAAGCATCCGCCAGGGCGTCCGAGAGCTGGCTTAGACCGTCTTTCAACGTCAGAACGCTGGTCTTGTTGACAAGCGTCCGTAAGCTTTTCCAATACATCCCAGGTTTCTCATGTGCGACAGATTCCAGGGCCAACAGGTCATCCATGGACATAAGCTTGACATCAGACATCAAAGAATTAATGTAGCCTCCGATAACGCGGCGTTCATCATTCTCAAGGTCCCGGAAAGTACCTATCAGTGTCTGCGCGCTTAACCGACTTATGTCACCTGCATAGATGCCATGGAATAAAGCTGAAACGAGGTTGTCTGCTACCTCTGGGCACAATCGGCGCGACACGAAGTCCGCAACGGATTCATCTGAGTTGAATGTCTTGTGGTCCGGAGGAGCCCGGACTGGCTCCAAGATAGCGCTCGCCAGGAGACCTTCGAAGACCGGCTCCCGCAGCATAGCATATATTGGGTTTGTAATGTTTTCGATCGGTCCGGCATTGGGGTCCGGCGCGGGCATACGGACAAGGTGATCGGGATAGTAGATATAACGATTGCGCGCGGCAGGCGACGAGCTGCTCGTTAAGAGGACGTCATCATGTAGGTCTAGCTCGACGAGCTGTTATACAAAGCAAAGCGTGTTAGCTCTTCATGTTCGTAGGATAGGGCATTGCATGGGCTACTGTACCAAATCGAGAAGGGGTAGACACGAGGGGACGGCGGTCCGCAAGGTCCGCGGGCCATACTCAAAAACAACGTTTCCACCTTCGACCGGAATCTTTTCGGACAGTAACCAGCCCCCTACACGAGGAGCCTTCTCGTATAGGGTGATCTTGGAGCAATTGGGGTCCTGCGATAGCCGATACGCTGCTGTGAGACCGGTGATGCCACCGCCAATGACGGCAGCATCGTACGTGGAGGAGTATCTCTGGCCGATGCGGGCGAACGCCAATGGCGTGCGCACCCCCCTGAGTGCACGGCTAGGGACACATGGTAGTCTCATCTCCGCAATTAGAGAGAATGAAACCGCGCGTGAAGATTGAAGAGGAGCATGGTTGGAAAAACAAAGGTGGGAACGTTGCTGCGTGCCTCCATCAGGTGAGCTGCTCCAACAGGCTGCCGGCGGCCGGCGGTGTAATTGTATGGAAATTACATAAATTTCCAGGTTCCCAGCCCTATTCTCAAAGTCCTACCAGTATTAATGAGTATGAATGGTTGACAGCAGTGGGAAACGAAGACAGCGCCATGCAATGGCGTCGAAGATTTCATAATATGATATCCAGATCTATTTACAAAGCCAGTTTGATATTCTTTCTGCCAGTCCTATAGATAAATTCAAGCAAACGCCCTTGCCACCAGTCACCCATCGTCCGCACGGAAAATAATACATGATATGATATTAAACCACATGGGGAATTTTAACTGAGAGGTCATCAAAAGGAATCATAGAGATCGCTCTTTCAGTTATGTCGCAATCTCTTGGTTGGTTTGGGACGGCTCTTCGGCGCCACCGGGTTTAATCAGTTCCTCTGCACCGTCCTCATTGGAAACGAATTTCCTCTCGCTCACATGCGCCTTCTCTTGTCCGTCAGCAGTCCACACCTTATCCGCAAACGCTCCTTTCTGGCCCTCGGCGTGTTTGTACGGGCACGAAGGGTTGAGACAAGGATTAAACTTGCAAGGCGTCTGGACATGCGTGAACTTGCACCCTTCAGTCGAGCAATCTGCACCATTCCGGCATAGTGGCATCGAGGGATGCTTGAAGTGGCAGTGGGGATTCGCACAATGAGGGAAGAACTTGCACATCTCTTCGGCTTGATGCGCTGACTTAACGGCGGGTGACGGATGGCGACCGGTGCACTTCCTGTTTTTACAAGCGGCTCCATAGGTACATGGGTCAGACACATCGACGGGAGTGCCCTCGGGGGCAGCTGGTGACTGATGCGCAAATGGGCAATCTCTCCGGGTACACCGCAGATTGAAGCGACATATCGAGTCCGTGTTGCTTTCATCCTGCTCACCACCCTGGTCGGGCTTTGTGTCCATATCGGTATCGACATTCTTGTCGTCTCGCTTGTTAAAATGGCGGCGTCCCTGCTGGCGTTCCACGCGGTCAAACAATGAACGGCCCTGTTGCGGTCCGTTCTGTTGGAAAGCTGGGTTGATCGCTGGAGATACAAAGCCGGGCATAAACTGGGACATCATCCTTGCTTGCTCTTCGAGTAGAGACATGAGATGCATCTGATCTTGCGGGGTCATGTTCATCATGTTGCCTGGGCCACCCGGCATTTGATTTGGTCCCATACCCATACCCATGCCACCCATCGGACGACCGCCTGACATCCTTCCTCCGCCATGCTGATTGAAGCGACCCTTCGTATGATCACGGCCATGAGAGTTAATACGTCCACTACCGGGCTGGCCACGAACGCGGTGTAACGCAGAATCGCCGCGGTCTAGTTGACGATTGATCTGGTTAAGCATCCTACCCCTCCCGCCTGGTCTGTTGTTGCGCATGGCTTTCGGTCCTGTCGGTCTATTGTTTTCTGTGTCAGCCCAAGTCGCCACCGCAGAGTCGAAGGGAGAAACCCACATCGTATCATTTGCAGCTCCGGTATCGCCCATGCTCATATCGGCATCCATAGCGCCATCTCCCGTCACCATCGCTTGGTTATTGGTGGCGTCTTGGTCGTTGAAGGATGGAATGGCCTGCGCAGAGTCGGTTTCAATTGATTGTTGAATACCCCCGCCGTTGATCTGTTGGTTGAGGAACTCGACCTGTTCGAAGAGCCATCTCGAAAAGTCCAGGGCCTGTGTATCGCCTTCGCCGAGTCCGAGGAGATCATTGGAGAGTTCGCCAGCAATCTGTTCTTGTGTCTTGCCGTTGACAAGCATAAGAATCACGTATTCGGTCAACGCTGAATCATCGCCGCCGTCGGAGCTCCATCCCATCTCTACCAGCTTCGGCTGGATGACATTACTCAAGGCCTCCGCAAGGGGAGTACCAACAGCAACTACCGTAGTCATGGCGTAGAACTCGCGCAGTCGAAGTCCGGCCCAGAGGAAAAGATAAGGAAGGGGAGTCGAAAAGAAGTCTGCCCGATCACTCGCACTCGCGCGTTGGAAAACCTGTTTAGAAAGACCTCCCTTGTCTTGCGTGGCAAACAGTCGGACGAAGACTAAGCAGTGCGGCGTTGTTCCAAAAGGGGGAGAGAACAAGGGTATAACAATGAGTTGGTTGTTTGTTTTTCATTTCATGACAAGGAACTTTGATGATGATGAAAGGTGCCAAGAGGCTCCAGCCACATCGTCACGTGTGACAGCTGTGGGTGGCGGTCTTTTGTGCAAACAGCACAAACATCTTTATATCTCGTCCCTCTCTACATTACCACGAATGCCTTTACAAAATACAGTTCATTTTCTTCTAAAATATATTCACAGTGATTAATTCATCCTGTACATTTGTTTTCACTCTGTTTGAATGTGTAAAGTCCAATTGTGGTTGTATTACAAGCTAAACCTCTAGCGCGACTAAGGATTCTGCCAGTTGACGGATCTACCAATTCCTACCAATTATGATCAGCAATTCACCTCACTGTGGGCTGTAGCAACACCGTAGAAGTTGTAATGCCTCAAATAAGTACCTGCACTGTTTAGTGGAAGTGGCAGAAACTAAAGGGAATATATACTACAATCTTCTCAAATCAATATTCTCCCCATTCTACTACAGAAGCCTTACTAGCCGCACGATATATATTTCCAAAAAGCGAATGCAAATCGACACCATCACGTCATCAAAAGGCCATATTTCGCCGTCTTACCAGTGACTCATCCTGTAAAAGTCTAGATAAATGTACTGATAGGTACACTAGCGGTATTTATCTACAGTCACACACTCAAACGATGTATATACACCATACCCCATGAGTCATCAACAAACACATACAACCACCTGGATCACGAGCCACGACCCAGAGAAGCCCTAACAAGTCATCACTGGCAACCATGTCCCAAAACAACCAAGACCAGGATCGAGCCACCATTCGAACATCATTGTCCTCGAAAACATGGTTCGGGTTCGACCTCGATGACACACTGCACGAGTTCCGCAAGGCATCTGCCCAAGCATCGTCTGCGGTCTTCACAGCGATCTATGAAGAAAGCCCGAATGTCAATATCGACGAGCTCAAGTCATCCTACCGGGACATCCTCGTCTCAACGACAGCGGGTGCATTCGCGGACGGGAGGACATCAGCCGACTATCGCAGAGAACGGTTCTCGCTTCTTCTTCAGGCACATGGGCTGGAGGCGCAGCCGGAGAGGCTGGTCCGTCTCCTGGAAGTCTATAAGAGTACTCTACGGGCAGCTCTGACGTTGAAACCGGGGGCACTGCAATTACTCCAGCGGATTAAGAGTCTCGGGAAGAAGGTCATTGTGGTGACGGAGGGGCCACACGATGCGCAGCAGTGGACTGTGGAGGAACTGGGGCTGGTACGGTACGTTGATGTGCTGGTCACGACTAATGAGGTTGGGCTGTCGAAGGTTGATGGGCTGTTTCCTGCTGTCTTGGAAAGGTATGGGGTCGTTGCAGAGGATATGGTGTATGTTGGGGACAATGAGAACCGGGATGTTGTCCCGGCCCGCGCTGCGGGTGTTTTGGCTTTGCTGTATGATGAGAAGGGTGGGTGTCGGTTGGATGATTGTGCTGCGCTTCGGGTTGACTCTCTAGGAAAGCTGGAGGATCTGTTGGGCTAATTGGTTTGCAAAAGGAGAGGGCTGAAAACGGTATGTTTGTGTGTTGGTAGGCCGGTAGAGTCCCAGGGTACAAGTCTAGTCACCCGGATTGGGCCATACTCTTTAGTCTATGGGTGTGGAGTCTATAGAGGTGTCATGGCCTGTCATTCAAGCCGCGATATAGGTGACTGAGCTATCATATCGACAGACCGTGCATATCCAGATTGACGCCATTGCCTAAGTGCTCAATACTCAAGAATTGTGGATCCCTGAAGGGAGTGGTGAGGATGATCTCTTCCAAATGCAATAGGAACTCAAGGTATGTTCTATGTGGAATTCAGGCTAGTCGTAGGTTGTGTGGACTCTGTGGAGCGACAAGGGTTTAAGCACTTTAAGCCAAGAAGGGGAGACATTTCACCAATAAATATCCCTTGCTTGCTCCCACGTAGAATAGTATACACGACTTCTGTACACCTGCACAGAGATAAAAAGAAAACAATTATTTCAAACCTGCAGTTTGATCAATACCCAGCCCCTTGCATGGTTATCTAGGATTCTTCTCCGGAAACGGAGTAGGACCGGGGAGCTCACATACCACTTCAGTTGCGGCCCACTTCGAAGGTCGCGGCAGCCTCTCTGACCGTATGGCTACTAGATCCTATGGGGACACACCTTCATGTCCAGGTGGACGTAAATAGCTAGCGTTTGAGATACCGCACATTTGAGCGCTTCCAAATCAGGGCGACGGCCAGCAACTGAGCCACGGCGAATCCTCCCGCAAGTCTCACCTGTGCACTATAGGCGGCCGAGTAAGCCTCCCGGACCTGAAGTTGAATAGAGGGGGGAAACATTTCAATAGTATCGCTGGAGGCGAGCAGGCGGTCGAGTTGGTCAGGATTCAGGGTCCCCGACAGTCGATTCTTGAGATAGTCATGTAGAATGGTAGCTGCTGCCGCAACGCCCAGAACACCACCCAGCATTCGAAGCTGGAGCCCGGTGCTCAAGGCGATTGATTGATCTTTACCATCGACCACAAGCGGCGCCATCATGTAGAATGCCGCTACAGTGGTACCTGTCCCTAGTCCAGCCAGGACAAGATATCCATACTGTGCAGCTGAGGTCTTCGTGGCGAAAGTGGTTTCAGAGAATAAGAAGAGACCAATCACCTGGAGGACTATACCGCCGAGTGCAATGTAGCAGAATGGTATCCGAAGGCGCCCGGCTAGTACAGAGCAGGACATTATCCCGACTGGGGTGGTTAACGCGTAGGATAGAAACCTGACTCCGGCGCCGATCGGGGAACAACCATCGACGATCTGAAACCGCTGAGGAATCATAATGATACTGACAGTTAGTGGGAGGCCAGTTGTCAAGAATCCCCTGTCATCTTGATAAGTACACGCCCGAGGAAGAGCCACTATTATGGACAAAGGATCGCTTACAGGGCAGCGCCCATGAAGATCCGGTTACTCGCCAGTCTCCAGGGGAACATTGCGTGAATATCGAGGCCCTTCTTACCGATGAACCACTCCCACAAAATGAATATGATCCAGAAGATTCCGGAGATAACTAGGAAACTGATCACAAGACCAGACGACCATGGGTACTCAAAGTTACCTTCTTGCAAGGCTGCGATAGCAAATGAGGATGCAGCCAACAGGGAAAAAGCGCCAAAGATGTCTACCCGTCGGAAGAAAGTCTTTATCTTCAGCCCAACTTTCTTGTATGTAAGTGAAGCAGCTTCAGCAGACGGAGCATTGGGGAAGTTAGCTGGAAGCACGACAAGTAAGAGTATCCAGGCAAAGGCCCCGGCTGGAACACTGTAGCTGTTATCAGAACCAGTGAATGATGGTAGAAATGAGGCGACCCTACTTGCACAAGAAAGCCCAGCGCCAATCGCCCTTGTCGGCAACAGCGCCTCCAATCAAAGGGCCAAGGACAAGTCCAAGGGACAAGATACCACCAGCGACAGAGCTTATGGTGTCATACTGTCGGTAGGGGACAATACGGACGAAGGAATATAGTGTGAGAGAGTATACACCGGCACCGCCTACCCCTTGAAATGCCCGGCAGATGATTCTTGCATGGATACGATCAGTTTATCGTCATCTCGGGTCACAGTGGAAAGGAAGAATGACGAACGCACAGTTGACTGAGACTTTGTGCACCTCCGCAGCCACCGGAGAACGCCGTGAACATGACGAGAGCAGCGAGTAGACTTGTTTTCAGTCGCCAGATATCACCAGCTTTCGACCAGACCATAAGAAATCCTAGAGTGAAGAAGCTTAGTCAAGGAACATTCTCTGAACGGACCGCGTCGAGTACCGCTATAGGTAAGCAAGTAGGATGTGATGACCCAGCTGCTTCGACCAAAATCGTCGAAATCATTGGTGATGGTAACCAAGGATGTGCTCACAATCGTGGCTTCTATGCCAGTAAGAAAGAGAGCTAGGCCAAGCCTGCAATGAATCAACACATAAGGATATTAGCAAATATACAGCTCGTTCGCACAGATTGTTCCATACGCAAAGGCCCCGAGGTATAGGGGGAACCCGTGTAAAGCACCTTCCCATTCTATAGTGTCTTCACTGATAGTCCCACTGACACCATCGAGAATCTGTTTTTCTTCAGACATGGCTGCCTGGGTAGGTAGTACGTGTAAGACGCTGTTGGATGCTGGTTCTTATTCAGGCTCCGCTACCTGAGTATGGGCTAGGGCACCTAAACATGAGGCCGAGAGGCTGACACGCAGGGTCTTCGGAGCATGCAGAATGTAATAAAAGGAGCTGCTAGGTTGGCCGGCCGCCTTACAGGGTAGTGAGACAGTACTTTGGTTCTGTAGCTACGCGTTCATACCGTCTCATTGGTTTATAACCTGCTACGTAGGTGGTTACACAGTCACTTTCCTGCAAGGGGACCTCCACGATTCCGCGTTTATTTGCCCTCAACTTGGGAGACGGCCCGATTGATCACCTTGGCTATGGATACTGTGTTCTCAACTGAATCAGGAATTTCGTGGCCGTTTGCATGCACGAAGACGGATCGTTTTTCCGGATCACAAAATTCCACAGCTCTCCTTGCGTCCGCAGCTTGTGGGTCCGCCGATCCCCAGATATGGGCAGTGGGTATGTCAAGCACTCTCCCAATTTGGGCGGAATTCAGATATGCAATTTGGTCACTAGCCAATGCATCGAGATCGTATGGCTGGCTGGCGTTCGAGAAAAATACAGCCACTTTGAATGGCGAAACATGGGATCTCACTCCCTGCTTCGTCCGATCCCAGTCCATCAACAATGACAGTGCCATAGTAGCTCCCAAGCTGAACCCAATGACTCCGTCAAACGGGCCCTCCTCCTTGATGTACCTCTCAAGGTCGCAAGCAGCCTGTCGGCATGATTGCGGCTGTTGAGGGTCACAAAAAGCGAACGTTGCTTCGTTTGTTTCGGTGACATGTTGAATGGCTGTTCTATTGTCAGAAAGGACTATATGAGGTAGAAGGTCACCTTACATGACTCCCAGGGCACTACTCCTTCGACAAAATCATAGGTATGTTGGTTGCCAAGCTCATATCGAATAGCAGCTGGGCACGCAGTTAGCCTATCAGTTTTGGCATGCAGCTAATGATATTTATTTATTTACCTGTTTGCTGTTCAAAGGTCTGAGACAGTCCATATTAGTGAGTCTTCCCTAAGCCCAAATGAGTTCAAAGTAATAGTGCTTGCCTGGGAATTGCTTCCAATGCCATGTAGACTAGAGAGGGTTAGCCGGTCCAACTGTGAGTTAGCAGGTCGACGAAATGTACCAGAGAAACCTCATTTGGACGGATTTCAGTCGGACAAGGTCGAAATATCGTTCTAAAGAGCATAAAAGGTAGAGAATGTAGACTTGAGTACTCTGTCGAACGGGGGTTCCAAGGGATTTCATCTCGGGGCTGGAGGCATTTAAATAAACCAATACTTTTGTGATAACCATATACGAGCACCTCCATGCGTGAAAGTTACATAGTATTCTGTAACATACGTCGGAATGTACATGGAATTTTAACACCGAATCAAGTGCATATTGGGTTTTATGACGTTCTACCAGAAATCGTGCAGCCCTAGCGCGTGGCGGGGCTTCATTATGAGAAAGGGACAAGATGGATATTCCGTAGAGCTTCCATATCATTTGCAAGGTTTCCTCGTCGGAGTTGCCAGTGGGAAGCCCTAAATGGAAGGTCCTGGATCGGCCAATGATTCAATGCCATGTAGGCGTTGCGACGACGAAAGAGCGGCGCGATATTCTCTGCCTGGCAACCTCCAGTGGAGCTGCATGGACGCCTGCCTCCTTCTCAAAACCGTATGATACGTACAGATCATCAGAGTGACAAGGGCCATGCAGCTTGCATAAAGAAGCTGCATAATACTTGTCGCGCTATCTTGTGACTGAAGTCAATAATCTCCAGCATCAGATTGGGTACATTTAAGCTTTCCACGATGCAGGAGCTCTAGTAGCCCAATGACTGGGCTGAGATTCTCTCGCTGTATTGATGTGACTTATCGAAATGTCCTAGCAAGTGACGTGGCGATGCATTCTTGGGTCCATTGATTTAAATGCCAAGATTTGCAACTATGGTGGAAGTACTAAGGTAACTGGATTGTAATTCCCTCGAAAGCACAGGTCTATAAGGTTATATTATCCACAGAGTATCGACATCGGCATAGGAAGCTCGATTTTCACCCGAGATCTGCTTATACCGAGGCTCATTGCTTGCTTATCGACTTGTCTTGTATGTCAATCATGTCGACATGTTCAGAGCAGGGCTTGCCGCCACTGGCAATTGTGGGCTTATCACTCAAGTTCCCCGGAGACGCTGTGACGCCAGATGACTTTTGGAAGATGCTTCTGGAGGGGAGAGCCACCGCGAGCGAGTTCCCCCCAGATCGGCTGAATATCAATGCTCACCATCATCCGGACCGTGAACGTCTGGACCGTCTCTCCCTACGGGGAGGAAATTTTATGAAAGGAGACCTGGGTGCTTTCGACGCTGGATTCTTCACAATAAACGCCACCGAGGCAGAAGCAATGGATCCGCAACAGCGGCTGATTCTGGAGGCATCGTACCGCGCGCTTGACAATGCTGGAATTACGATGGCGGAAGCGTCAGGTTCTAAGACCTGTGTTTTTACAGGAAGCTTTTGCAATGATTACCACACGTTGCAAACAAAGGACCCTATGAGATTACCGAAATGGCATGCTACTGGGACATCTATGAATATGTTGTCGAATCGTGTCAGCTGGTTTTTCAACTTGCAAGGCCCAAGCGCTACTGTGGATACTGCGTGCTCCAGTAGTTTGATGGCGATTGACTTAGTCTGTCAATCTATCTGGAGCGGTAATTCCTCGATGGTAAGAATGGTTGAATGATCCTGGCATGATAAAGTGTCCGCTAACCTGTGGAAAGGGATTGGCCATTGGCAGTAATACCATATTGGCATTGGAAACGAGTCTCTGCCTTGATAACTTAGGTTTGCTCTCGAAGGACAGTCGTTCATATAGCTTTGATCAACGAGGGAACGGCTATGCACGAGGCGAAGGTGTTGGCGTCTTAGTGATCCGACCGCTGGGGGAGGCCATCCGAAATGGAGACACTATAAGAGCTGTTATCCGATCCTCCGCCTCAAACCAGGATGGACGTACGCCTGGGATTATGCAGCCTAGTGGGACTATGCAAGAGAAACTGATCCGCGATACCTATGAGAGAGGAGGGCTCAGCCTAGCAACAACGCGATACTTTGAAGCCCACGGGACCGGTAGGTGGCACTAGTTTGACCAACCACTGTGGGTATATAGGAGGAGGCTGACTTGACATTAATTCTAGGAACGGCGGTAGGGGATCCTATTGAAGCCCGCGCAATTGGAGGAATCTTCCGTCAGTATCGCTCAGCTGAAGACCCGCTTTACATGTATGAACTGCGCTTAGCACTCAATCTTGCAACCAGATTCTAAGCCAACTCACAGTGGATCCGTAAAGTCCTCTGTTGGACATCTGGAGGGTGCCAGCGGCGTGGCCGGAGTGATCAAGGTCGTTCTTGCCTTGGAAAAGGGAATTATCCCACCTAATGCAGGCCTCGAAACGCTGAACCATCGAATTGATGATGAATTCCTACATATAAAGGTTTGTTTCCGGCGCATTTCATGGCTGGCTGCTCCTGGACTAACAACCGTAGGTCCCCCAAGAACCGGTGGTCTGGCCGGTCGATGGCTTGCGAAGGGCGTCAGTAAGCTCCTTTGGCTTTGGTGGTTCAAATACCCATATTGTGCTAGATGATGCCTTGAACTACCTCCATATGAATGGCCTACAGGGCAACCACAATACCGCCGCTCATTCGAGCACCATGTGCGTAGAGTCTGATCAGACAAATGGAATTCCAGACGAGACACTTGATGAAGCAAAGTTGCTTGTCTGGTCAGCTGCCGATGAGAATGGAATTTCCCGCATCCAGGACAAATGGAGATCTTTCTTCTCATCGCTTCAGGTTACAGACCAGGAAAAGAAAGCCTACTTAAGTAACTTGGCATACACGTTGGCCCATAGGAGAAGTCACCATCTATGGCGGACCTTTGCGACTGTGAAATGTTCGGATGACTGGTCAGCCATCGTGGATAAATTTGCTCGCCCGTATCGGTCAAGTTCAACGCCCAACCTGGCATTTGTATTCACTGGGGTAAGCTAGTTTACAACACTCCCATGCACAATAACTGACACCCGGGGCAGCAAGGAGCGCAGTGGTACGCTATGGGTCGCGAACTGATAGCCGGATATTCCGTTTTCCGTGATAGTGTCCAAGCTGCCAGTAGATATCTACAAACCTTGGGTTGCCAATGGGATCTTTTAGGTACGTATTGCACCACAAGGCGTTCCCAATAATGAGATTTGGTGATTAAACTGATTCAATTCCTAGAGGAGCTTCAAAAGCCAGAGGAATTGTCGAACGTGAACAAGACAGAATATAGCCAGCCGCTTTGCACTGCGCTTCAAGTTGGCTTGGTTGACCTTCTCGCGCACTTCAAGATATCTCCCAAGGTTGTAATCGGCCACTCGGCTGGGGAGGTTGCAGCTGCGTATGTCTTTCGCTTGCTTGTTGATGGCTCATCCCCATTTGCTAACTGTTTGCAGATACTGTACTTCTGCTATAGACAGGCAATCCGCTTGGAAGATCGCTTTTTACCGTGGCAAATGGAGCAGTCGGCTGGAAAAGTCCAGCTATGTCAAAGGGGCAATGCTAGCGGTGGCCCTATCCCCAAAAGATGTTGAGCCATACTTAAACAAAGTAGCGGGTGAGTGCGAGATCTTGAGGTTAACAGTGGCTTGTATCAACAGCCCTAAAAGCGTGACGATCTCCGGCGAAGAGGTGCAAATCGATATGCTAAAGTCAGCACTCAGTGTTGAGAACATCTTCTGTCGAAAGTTGAAGGTCAAGGTCGCCTATCACTCATTCCAAATGCATGAAATCGCTGCACAATATCAGAACGCGATGGGACAGTTGGAGAAGGGTACCGAGCCCAAGACTCCCATTGAAATGGTGTCCTCTGTCACGGGTGCATGGATCAAACCAGACGACTTAACGAAGCCTAGCTATTGGGTACAAAATATGGTCTCTCCAGTGAAGTTCTCCGATGCTTTGTTCACTCTCTGCTCAAACACAGAGACACCTAAACGGAAGCTTGATCTAAGCCATCGGCGGGCGTTGCCAATCCATCACTTGATTGAGCTGGGTCCCCATTCCGCACTGCAAGCACCTATCAAAGAGAACTTGAACAGTGCAAGTCGGCAGTCAGTAGGGTATCATTCCCTTCTGGTGCGCGGTGTACCAGCTATCGACACTGTAATGGCCGTAGCTGGTTATTTACATGCAGCTGGCTACTCAATCGACCTTGGCGCTGTGAACAATCTCAATAGTCTCGAAGAAAAGGGCCTGCTCAAATCATTGCCAGATCTCCCAGAGTATCCATTTAACCATAACAAGATTTACTGGCATGAGAGCCATATAAGCAGAAATCACAGACTAGCCAAGATTGGCAGAAATGACCTCCTTGGCTCGCCGGATCCCAACTGGAACCCTCTTGAGCCGCGATGGAGAAACATTATCAAGTTGTCCGAGATGCCCTGGGTTCGAGACCATCAAGTGAGTTTCCCTTGGTGTTCGATACTCCTAAGCAATCTGTGCAAGGACGCAACAATTACAATGAATATGCTGACAAGGCTTTGGTAGATCAATGGTACGATACTATACCCGGCAGCGGGAATGGTCATCATGGCCGTTGAGGCAGCAAAACAGTTGGCCATCGCTGGTCGACAGATCTCAAGTTTCAATATCAAAGACGTGATTCTTCATGCCGCAATCCCAATTCAGGAACAGAACGATGTGGAAACGGCCTTTCATATGCGTCCGGTTAAGGAGCTTACGTCTGCAGCATCCCATTGGTATGAGTTTGCGCTCTACATGAATACAGATTCATCCTGGGTGTCAAACTGTACGGGCACTATTCAGGTTGCATATTATCCGGAAAAGCCAGACCCCGTAGACTGTGGCCATATCGAGCGGGATCTAGTCAGGCAACAGATTAGCGAGTATCGAAAGGCTAGCAAAGAATGTACCAGCCCCGCCGAAGTACAAGCCCTATATTCT